CCGGACAGGCGATCGCCCAGGAACCTCTGAGCGATCCCGGTGAGTACGCTCTAGAGCTCGTACTCGATTTCTGCGATTCTGATTACTCTCGACAGTCACGGCGTGCAAGGGCCTCGAGCACCTTGACAAATGCCACTACTGGTACATGGACGGGGACGTCATTTTGGAGTTCAAAGGATGTGAGTCAAGTTCTTCACTCTCGATTTAAGATGCAGACTGACTTGGCATATGACGCGACGTAGACTGCGTGAAGCCCGAGAATGAGCCGTTGAAGTGCGATTACATCCGCGACCCGCCAAACTGGCCTCCTCCTCCTGAGACTACCCAGTGAAGATCGTTAAATATGTAACATAATAGAAATCCTTGGCCGACAGCCCTATATCTGGGCCATTGATCCGTAACAAACGATTGACAAGTCAATCTTAAGAGTATACCGAAGGTGCTCTAGTTCCAGGATGGGCAAACTGAGAACGAGCAAATATCGCACGGTAGCTGCATTCACCCCCCTCCGAGTCATATTCGCCCAAGTTGCACGCGCCCTTTACGATCTGAGCTACAATAATATGGAGTTACAACAATATGTCAGGTCAGTCGTGGTTGGGATTGCTTCACAGAGATTAAAGCGTACAAGGGCTCTGAGCGGCCACCGGCGCGAATAAAATGTATGTTTGTGTCTCCAGTTGGTCCCCAGCCTCGTCTCTATTATACTCTCAAGGTCAGGTAAATACATGGCTTGATTAACTCAGCAAGAGCGCCCCGTTGTCCATGAGACGCTACCTGCCTAACGTCCAGTAGTGCAACAGATGTCGTTCCGAACGCCCCTGGCCACGCGGCTTTGCGTATATGTGGAGGGCGTCTTAGGTGCAGGAGTCGGGAAGGCCGATTTCTAGTTGGCAGGATACACAGGAAATGAACTGGCTAGTCCGAGTCTCCACCAAAGTTACGAGACAAGGAATCTGCAGGAATACTTACAGGTGTTTGAAGTGGCTTTCGGCAGAGTTGGACTGGGAAATCTCTAGACTCAGAAGCTCTTGGGCGTCAGTTGTGAGTTTCTCATAGAGGTTTTGACTAGTGCATCGCATTCTGCTTGATCACTTCGCAAACCATTCCGTTCGATTCCCTACTATCCATGTACATTCCTGGTAGCATTGCCTATAGATTAGTTAGCACTCTTCGTAAACATATTCTGGGTCTCCTTTCGCGGTGACATCATGATCCCTGAAAATCACCGAAATCTGACTTCCACGCTCAGCGCAGGCTGCCGTGAAATTTCCTCGTCCGTTCTCGGGAGCATCTTCATCAAAGTACTCGACCTCGAGGACCTGGTTGCCATAGACGTTGGTGTAGGTTTTACACTCGTTGTGGGCTTGGCATTCCTCCGCGATGGCGAAATCAAAACCAACTTCTCGCTTCCCGTCACCCTCCAACTCGCTACCGGCATTCTTCTGGCCAAAGGCCAGATCGTTCGTCTCATTGTGTGCGTAGTTCGCGAGAAGTTTGGCGTAATCCAGGTTGTTTTCCTTGGAAATGAGGTGGCTCGACCGGTTGAATGTGTCGAGGTTGTCGGGCTCGATGGCGTTGAACCCTTTCCGTTTACATTCGTCAATCCAGCCATTGACAATAGTAGCCAGGGCCTGGCGATTAGTGTCTGTGGTGGTGTTGAAATAGAACTCGCCTGGCCAGTCCGGGTCCTCGTAGGGCAAGTTAGAGGAGTTTCGGAGGATGAGTCTATTGTTCGCGGGGTCTGAGAAGTTCGGGGTTGAATGAGCACGGAGGCCGAGGAGAACAATGGGCGATCTTACCATCGAGCCAAAATTTATGGGCGTCTTCATCCGGCTGCGTTTGGAACGCATTGATGTAGCAGATATTGTATTTTCCGGAAACCGGTGTCGAGGTATGATCCCGAGTGACGACGCGCACATCGGGGTCGGGTTCGTACGCTTCTCCAATCTGATAGTCCCACTTCTCGTTGGCAGGAAGAGGAGTAATTGCATTGGAAGTAGACGAGAGCAGAGAAAAGGCGATGAGAAGGAAAGTAGAAGAAACCATAGCACGATGAGGTTTGTAGCTTGTAGATGAGAGATCACAGTTGCTTGATTACTTCCAAACGACCTGCACACCTTTTATACCACCCAAGAGGTAGCGACGAAGTGTATAACTTCGCGATTTTCACGGATGAAGTTGACCGCCTTCGTTGTGAACGCCCTCTTGCCCGTACTCCAATGTTTCAGCCTACATTCACGGGTGTAAGTATCAATTGAAAGTTGAGGCCACAAGGGATTCAGCGGGTGTAATGTGCTAACCAAACGCAGGATGTTTGTATCTTGAGTCCCGGGGCCCGCTAGTCGCTAGCGTTTGAACCACAGAATGTGTCAACGTGAAAGTAGTTGAGTATGACGCGGGTACCAAGAAGTTCGGGCCCAAAAGCCTTGATATATTGTTAGAGGTGAATGGTGGTCAAGCCAGGTGCGGAAGAGGCATGAATAGCCAGTCACCCTTGGTCACCATTGACTTCGGGAGGGGCAGTGTCGCTGTGAATGACGATTACAATCACCTGGAGAAATTCAAAGAATACAAAAGGACAGAACGGAGCCTGACCACACAATCGCACCTCGGAGTCAGTATGAACCTCTACACCAGCAAGAGTGACTCTGAACACATAAAGCTAGCTCGCCTTGTACTTGTACAGCGGTTCTAGATTTGAGATTCGTTCCAATTGACCGACCTTATTCAGATTTGACACGGGTTTTAGGCTGGTAAAGAGCTTGGAGCCCGTCTTCTTCGGGCGTAGACTGTAGTCAGTCCGCAATCGATGCTGGGGTCCACACCTCAATTCGAGGAGTCGATAAGCCGAAAATGCCCAAGGCAATAGCATCCAATACTGAACATGATAGGATGTGCAGGGTGATCACACCTTCGACGGCCACTACGAAAATCAAGCTCGCAGCCTCAGGTGTACACGTATCGAACGCTCTATCCTACCAAGCTGGGCGGGCGATGAGTAGGGTGGAAGAAGATTGTCATGAACATAGTAGGAGGATCATGGGTCTGAATTTTCGAACTCCGATGACGCGTCCGGGAAACAAGGGGTAACGTCTGTCACGGTAACCCTCGTCACGTCGTTGCTCGCAACTTGCGCCCACAGGTGTCCACCTCCGTCTCTGTCCGCTCGATATATCGATATATCATGCTTCTAGGAGCAAAATCCTGTCAACACATTCGCTAAAAGTCTATTCATCAATCTATCGAGAAGATAGTTCTGGACGAGTATGGCTGGTTTGTAGAAGGTGCAAGTCAGTGCTGGGGATCGAGTACTTTGGATCAACAAGGTGAGCCTCTCCAGGCGAGTACGTGTCAGTAAGCTGACTGAACAATGTAAATTATCGCTCACCATCGTTCAATCACTACCTCTCCCGCTATCACCCACGCCGATTTTCTTCATCTCCTCTTTGTATTTCATCGGCCTTTCTACCAGTCTCGCTTGAATCGCTGAGGTTCATCCAAAGCATGATCTAGTACTGGTCCTTGATGCGACTCAGGTGTCATAGCATTGGCGGCAAGAGAAAGTTACCCATAGCCGTGTGGTTCGCTCACTCATGGACGTCTGAACGTCGAATACATCTATGCTGCTGTCGATGCCATCTCTTGAAGCCTACATGGACTTGTTGACTTCGAGAGGCACATCAGTCTTGGCTGTCTTAGCTTCAGTTGAGTTGCGTTCAACGACGGACGGAAGGGTGTTCTTGCAAATGGGTCTATTCGCCTCTGTAAAGAGTTTGGCTATGGGCTAATGGGGAGTGTTATTAAGGTTCGTGTTCCAAACGCTATTTGAATAGACTGTGGACTCATACGTTCCGGCTTTCTTCACTGTAGCCCAACAGAGTCGAAAAACCACGTGGTGGGGTTACCGGGATACCCGACGGACTGGCGAAGCTGCAGAGCAACCTACAGAGGAACCAAGCCAGCGGGGTGAGGGCTGGTCTTCGATCCCTCACAAAGGCTCTGACGTCGCCTGTACTCCGCTGAATTCACCTCCATCTCCTACAATCTCACAACTCGAGCACTCGTTTCATGAAACACACCTCACAACCGTGTGAGCCGTATGAGATAGTGCTGGCTCTCGGCGTGAATCGGTCGACTGGGCACAGAAGGGACTTGGGTAACTAGTTGTCCTTGGTCACCATTGATCTCGGGAGGGGTACTAGTGTCAATGATGGCTACGGTCGACTGAATAAATCCAAGAATTCACAAGGACAGCGGAACATGACCGCACAGTCGTAACTCGGAGTCAATATGCCCTCTCCGCCGGCTGGGTAAGCTCGGATACATTAAGCTGGCTCGCCATGCCCCAACGGCTCTAGATACTATATTCATTCCCGATGCTCCCTCTGTTCAAGGCCTGAAACAGGTTTTAGTGGACTGTTACAGAGCTTGCGACCCGTTATCCTCGGATATACACCGCAGAAAGCGCGCCGCGTACGGGGGCAGCAGACACCTAAGCTCGAGGCCGCCTCAACAAGCCGGGATTATGGTGCAAACGGCTTATACACCGCTACTTTTGTACAAATTATATAGCACGTTCAGTTTTGATCATTTTGCTTAATTATCTTACAGAAAAACATATAAATATACATAGAGTAGAATCCTCAGACTGATAGTCTATAGGGTCAAAATTGACCGAGTTATTTCTTCGATGTTCGGCCAATTTGGCGCGGTGTGCTAAGCGCCCTCCAAGCGCCCGTCGAGCGCTGGTCCAGCTGTTGTTCTGAGGCCCATGAGGAGGGCAGAAAGGAGTCCTGATCCATAAAAAAACCTTGGGGGGGGGGTTGCCTGTTTTTTGGAGTCCCAAGGCCACCGAGGTGGGCGCTAAAAGTAGGCGCGCAGACCTGTTGCTGTCGGGCCAATTTGGCGCGTGTCCAAAGTAGCGGTGACTAAGCCGTTTGCACCATAGAAGGTCCTGCAATGGCCTGCAACTTTGCAAAAGTAATATACGACCTCATAGCCCACCGCGAGGGTCGAACTCGCAGCCTTCAGATGCCCGCAGTTAAGAGTCTGACGCTCTATCCGATTGAGCTAGGCGGGCAATACGCTAAAGGGGAATAGTGGAATGAACATACGAGCGTTTCTGAGCCGCGAAGTGCGATTTTTTTTTTCAAGGGCGTGCGTCACAGTCAGCTGACTGTGACTTACGATCACACCATACGGTTTCCTGGCAAAAATTTCGTTCCCGTCAACCTCTTCTTTCTCTTTCTCCGTTTTCTCCGAGTCAATTCTCCACCTTGCCCTACTTACCAGCCTTTTATCAGAGACGGACTTTACTAGTCGCATCATGCTTGGTCTGACTATGGTATGGTGAGTGGGCAGTCTCTGTTCAACTTCGAATTCCTTGTAGGATGGGCTCTATTCAGACCTGTTCTGTATTTATCGTGGAGACAACCGTATATTGCCTTTTTTCTCTGATCTTTGTTCGCATTTCTACGCACTCTCAACCGACCCGTTTCTAACCGTCCGCTTCGCAGAATCAGTGCAGAACTATTCTTGAGAACAGAGTGAAAAGCAAGGCTGTTCATTGGGTATGGCGGAATGTTTGATGATGGTGATGGGAAACGAAAGTGAGTATGAGTATCCCGTATCCTCTAGTAGCTAGTTGTAGCTGATGGCATTGATCAGGTCGCCGTGTAAGTCGTGCATTTCAGGATCTCTCAAAATACAACAGGTTGCACTCCGTGGTATGAACTCCCTGCTTCATCGGTGTCAGCTTCAGCACGTTCGCCTGTCAACCGTCATCCCGCGCACTTCATCTCGCATACATCTTGTGTCCGTAGTTGCTATCAAGTTCCTCCTTGTACCAGCACCTCTTGTCGGCCGTACTGGCTGGCGTGGTAATTCATGGAAACCCTTCCATTGCTCTCTTCAGGCCAATGACATGATAGCCATGTTCAATTCACTCAATGATATAAAAAGTGTTGAGTTCTAATCCTGTATTCATACTGTAAATGTGTTCCAATTTTGTACTGTATCTAGCGGTGAGAATGAAATGCCGGTCATCGTGCACCAAGGATCCGTGTCATTTGATATGCACGGTTCTTTCTCCTTCCTATCACCACGATGTCAAACCACGAAGAACTACCCTACGAACTTCAAGTCGAAGCATTCGCTTACGGAGAGGACGGGAAAAGGGTCGAAGTCAAGCTTCATCCTCGTGTTCCGGATGACAGACTAGGCAAACCCCGTGAAATTGGTGAATGGAGCCTTGACTTCGCCAAAACGCTCTTGCACGATGTGAAGCACGCAGAGAAATGGAAATGTGAATTCTGTGGTAGGGCCTCTTTCTGTGCAACTGCAACACCAAGCTCACCGGATCACATCGAACGTTTCGACTCCCAATAGGTGACCATGCGAAGTTGCCTAAAGTACAAGCGGCATTTTGGACACATCTCAGCCCTCCACGGCTTGTTCTGTATGTGAGTGATTGATACTTTTTTTTTTACAAAAATTCGCGCCTCACGATCTCTAGATTCATGAGACCTGCGACAAGCCAAATTGTGCAATTCAATTCGACTATATACATGCGCAACTGAGCGCTCAACCTGGGACTTTGAACATTATCGAGGTAGAAAACACCAACATTCTTCCACCAGTCTCTGGAAGCTGCATCAAATGCGGCCGCGAGAAGATGGATGGTTCGGATGCTCAGCTGATGAGATGTGCTAGCTGTAGGCTCACTCGGCAAGTCGAGAAATCCTCCTACGTGGTATTGACGTCGAAGTACTCATTGAGATTGCTTATAGGTATTGTGGGAAGGATTGCCAAAAAAATGACTGGCCGAGGCATAAACGAGGTGTGTTCCCTGTGATTTCAAAGCTACTTAGTACTGACGAAGGTCCTTAATCCGTCGTAGTATGCAAAGCAATCCGAAGCGTCGAGTTTGTCGATTGGGGAGCAGAAACTCGATCCTAGATGTCGAAGTCAGCAGAAGCGAGTGAAGAACTATGTTTCCCGAAGATTACAATCCATCACACAATCCCGCTCGATCTATGTAAGCACTTGTCTGGTCAACAATGGACCAAACCGTCGCAGTCATTTTTGGCGAACAATGGGCCCGGCCACCATACGAGATCGCTTTCCCTCCTTTGGTCGAATTGACAACAATGAACCGGTGAACGTTTGAGTCATCACTTCCAATTGGCAGTGACTCAGAGCCATTATCCCAAGTGAGCTTGCGGTAACGTGAGACCGTGTCGCACAGGGACACCTATAATTCTTGACCTCGAACCACCATCATCGCGCACAGGAGAGATGAACTCAATCCCCCTTCATAGGTCGCAACGCCTGGAGGTGGCATCCACTCCAATGATAGATGCTAGGATACGCAACGAACAAACTAACAACATCACTAACACGTCGGATAATGATGGGAAACGGAAACATTCAGAGGACTGTGAGCTTAAACAAATAACTTTCAAGCCCTGTTCATTTGTTTACTCACAAGTCGACTTTTCATTCTAGTTGCCGGTCAACCCGAAGAAGACACCGACCATTCTTTGAACGCAAGGAAAGCCAAACGAACGAAAAATGTCGACACCTCGGACATCGACGTTGAACCTGAAGTTGAGAAAGGAGAGAAAGGAGCTCTGGGAAGGCTTCCTGTAGAGCTCCTGAGAGAAATATTTCTCTGTTGTCCTGCCAGGACTTCGTCGTTCAAGGCCTCAATGATGCCGTGGACTCTCGGTCGGGTGTGCAGGTGTGTACACCTTCTTGAAGCGTCCTCTGTCCTCAAACTAAAACCGTCTTTACCATTTCGTAGACGCTGGCGCCAAGTAGCTTCAAGTACTCGAGAACTTTGGACGACGATATCATTCCAAGTCTGCGATCTAACTGCCGTTTTCACAAAGCGTGATCGTGCAGAAACGCTCTACGAAATGTTGTGCTTGATGTTGGCAAGGCGCGCTGGAAAAAAACTCCACGTCAAGGTTGAACTAGACCGGCGACCGCCGGAAGAAATTCGCCGTTTTTTCGACCTTTTGCGGTCGGCAACACGCGACTGGGTCTCCCTCACTCTTGGCGGGTCCCCGGAACGCCGCGGGGTAGCACTCTATCCCCAGCCGGAGGATCGGGAGGGTTTTGCCTCTCTCGAGGCAGTCTCTGTTCAGGATATGACCGCTCGGGAACGTAAAGGAAAGCTTCGCGAGTCTCTTGAAAAAGCACCCAAACTTCACCCCATCGCCATTCACCATCTCAACAAGACGCGTAACGTTCACAACAGCCCCCCTATTCCACTTCCCCTTTTCCGCTGGCCAAAACTGGTTCACTTTGCGCTCGATCATTCATCGTACACCTGGTCCGCTCGAGGACTGGCGTTGTGCTCCCGCCTCGAATCTCTCGTGATATACGCCTCAATCAATCGCGATACAGACAGCTTCATGCTGATGACAGAATTCAGTACAGTGCGAAAACTACGTCTGGTAAGTGGTGCGCACGTGTACTCTCGTCGACCCGCCACGTATCTGGACTTTTACCGCAGACTCAAGCTACCTGGCCTCGAGCAGCTTGAGGTGGATAGTCGGGCTGGAGTCGAGACTGACTGGGAGAATATAACCGCTCTTCTCGAGAGGTCGGCACCCGCCAAGCTCAAGTTCGTATCCATCGGAGGTATCTCCTTGATGGATGTAACTGTGGGACGACTGCTTCGGAATACGCCGCAAGTTACGAGTCTCACAATCACGGGAGACGTGTTACCTTACCTTCCTCGCGCCATCATGTCCGGTGATATACTCCCCAACCTCGAATACCTGGGCGTTGCCAGCAGGACGCCCTGGAGGCTCCAGGGCGTCCCAGGCTGGAGCCGTCTTTCTCGTCCGACCATTGCTGCAATCGTAAACCTCTTGAAGTCAGGAAACCCAACCGGGACTCTGGGCTCCCTACGTGTCACAGAGCAAGGTTCTGGAATGACGATGGAGTGCAGACCACATCAATATGACTCGGCAAGCCCCTGCCTAGAGTCCACTCTCCTCGACCATGCGGCCGCCGAAGCCTTCGAAGAATTGTTCTACGACTTTGTTGTTCGTTGGAACGGTCCGAGTTAAGTATGAAAAGGTCTTGAACGAGGTGAGCAAACCTGTCTTCCCTTTTCGCGATGATTTTTTGTTGGATAACTTTGAGAACATACAACTGGTGGAGTTTATCTTGAAGGCTGTCGAGGGGTCTGAGCCCGGTACCTGCAGATTCTGGCTCTTTTGCAGTAAGGTAGTAAGAGCAGTACAACGGTTATAGTTCAGACTGAACTGACTTCGTTTCTAGGAAGAACATCGCGCTATCGGAGATTTGGGTAGGTCCTTTCGCGATGGCAACCTCAAGGATCGCTGGGACAGTATCCGGGCGAGGATGCTGCGTATCGCGCTGGAGAGATGGCAATACTGAGGTAAGATAGTGGTTGGTACCGCCCCATCACTCCGAATATCGAATGCTTTCCCAGATTCCGGAAAAATGCCATACCAATGTATACAAACCGGGAATCAGTAATGGGTGTGCCGTGCCTAATCCCACGTGTTCAATGGACTATGGTAGAAAAAGTAAAGTCAAGCCCTGCGGACCGCGGTAGTGCGCACGTCTAGAAGAAATGGGGATCAGTCAATAAAAGGCTTGTCCTTTCTGCCTCATTCCGGTTAACAATAGAATTCGAACGGGATTCGAGCCATTGTTTTCGGCATAATACGGTAACGTGAGGTTGTGCAACACTTCGTCCATGACTCGTTTTTCGTGTATGATATACTCAGCAATGTTCGAGTTTGAAAGTAGCTGCCACACTACCACAGTTCTGTGGCTCACGCAGAACCGATAATGGAGCGAATGGCTTCTTTTCCACTTCCTTTGGCAGTGAACCCGAAATTGCCGAGCTATTGTCCCAAGTATGAAGTATCCATATCTGCCGGCGGTACCGTGAGACCATGTCGTACAGGGCTGGTTGGGCGCCTGTATTTTTGATCTCGAACCACCATCATCGTGGCACAGGAGAGATGGACTCTCGCCCCCTTCGAAGGTCGAACCGCCTTCAGTCTACAGACAACTCAGAAAGAGATGCAA